GGCTGTTTCTCGGTAACTCCATTTTGACACTTGTTGTTTCGTGCTTCGCAGGTGTGACAATTTTCATTACATTTACACTTGCTCATATTTTCCAGACAAAAAGTTAATGGTGCATCTCCCAAATGTCCCGGCCGCAACAACGCTTTTATTGGTTCCGCTATCGGGACGGAACCAAAAATGGCGAGCCGTTATTTAAAAAAATAAATAAATAAAATTTTTAAAGTTTTATTTTGAAGAATTTAATGCCTTTTAAGACTTTTTTAAGGACCCGCGGGAACCCTGTTTTTAGGAAAGCTCGTCTATGAACCCATACCCCGATGACATAATGCACCTTGATTTCATAGCCTTTATGAAGCCTTCCTAAACTGTCCGTATTAATTATCTGATATTGAACTCTGCTTTGGGCTGCTTTGGAGTTCAAAAAATTTGTTGCAAAATTGCTAAATAAGTATTGCACCCAGAACAGGAAGAGTTTGCAAACCTTTGGGTGAAACAGTAAATTTTAAATACAAAGTAAAATAGAGACATGGAAGCCGAGAATCCAAACCTTTTTTAAGACGAAGTCGACCCGTCCAGCTTTGTTCATGTTGTGAGGGAGATGAACCCTCTTGCTGACCTTTGAATAGCCTTTGGCAGTAGCTGTCAGAATGTGAGTTCCTGAATTAAGCAGCCTCCAGTAATCTCCATCCTCAGCTTGAAGTGAGTTATGGAGGAGAGAAATACATAAAATATAATGAAAATAATAATAAAATTTGTAGCTAAAATTTGTCAAACTTTGGATATGTATTTTTACCTGTAGTGATGTCTTTCCTAATCCCCCTGACAGAAACAGTTGCACCCTTTATACCATTTCCATCTGTATCCCTCACAACACCCTTTATTCCTCGATGGACCTTGGAGGAAAAAAAGAGGCCAATCATATCTAATTCCATAATGACCAAGCATGTTTAATCTGGACTAAGCAATAAGGCCCCTTCAAACAAGCTTTCCAGTCGACACTTACAGATTCAAGAAAACTAAGCAGAGCTTCTTTATTTCTTTTCCATTCTGGATAGAGCTCAGCCTCTGGGGGGAATTTGTCACAGCCAAGCTCCACTGTGATCTCCATACAGTTGGTATGTAGGTAATTGAAATCAGACATACCTGCAGTTGGAGGAGAGATATTGTGTGAAGGTATCAGATATTTTGTTGTCAGAATCATCAGAGTATATATGTGGCAACTGTGAAGGTATCTCACCACCAGCAAAACTGTACCACAGTGCACCATTGATGATGCCTCTGGTGCGATAAAAAGAGGCCCCACACCTGTCTGTGTCGTTGTTTGACATGGTTGCATGAGCATCTGCATAAGTGCGAGCAAGCTGCTTGAAAATCTGGGCACGGGAAGATTATTGGTATGTGAAAGCTGAGAGATGTTAATGTGTCTGATTTGTTATGTTAGTGAAGTGTTTTACATGAATCCTCACCAGTTCATCTGGTGTTGGTGAAAACATCTTTTCCTCCTGTGGGTGTCTGGAGAAGTCGAAAGGGTAGGAGACCACCAGCTCCCCTCCATGAAGGCTGGCAGACTGAACAAATGGCAGTGACCTAATCCACTTCATTACTGCAAAGGTCTCTGGTGCCACCTGCAGGTAGAAAATCACAACTACATCATTTACAGCCAAGGTTGGTTGGTCGTTCAACTAGTTAACTGTGATAAGTTCCTTAATTTTCTTCTACCTTCCCAAACCAGTAGGCATCAGGGATAGGGATGTGATCTATGCGGTAGTGCCTGCTGCGACGGTTTCGGTAGAAGATAGAGGTGAGATCAGGAAAGTTGCGGTTCAGGTCAAGGTTCTGGGCATTAGCACGTCCGCTTATCCATCCATTCAGCAAATGACCCTAAAAGGTTTGAGGTCAAATAATTCTTGGCATTAAGGTTTACAAATTCTGGTATTATGGTAATGGTATTTAAGTGATGAACCAAGACAAGTAGCAACAGCAATTATTAGAGAAAACTTAAATCAAGTTAGTCAGAATTTAACAAAATGAATGTTAGATGTCTATGTTAATTCTATTGTTAACATGAAGACAAGACCATTTATCCATTATAACAGAGGAAAAGAAAACATTAGGGCATTATTCAAGAATTAAATTCAAACACTAGTCCTTTGCTTAAAAAAAAACATCTGATTTTGGTTTATGTGCTTTATGTGCTTTAAGTTCTCAGCCACTGCTCATTTCTTTATATGTGAAAAAAAAAACTCTTTGTATATTCCTTTAAAGTTCCAGATTTTTTTTTTTTTTAAATCATATAAGTTGCCTTGATCAAAGCATTCCTGGCTTTTCTGACTGTATCTTTCAGTTTATTTTACATTTCTATTTTGCCACCATTATGTGATCCTTTTTAGTTGAATATTTATTGTATTTATATCATGCTGGCAGAGTACAATCTTCTAGGTAACACATTAATTACTTTTATTTTTCCAGACATCTAATTGAGCACTGGATCTTTTTATCAAAAAAAGATCAAGAGGTGAATTTAATATTGTGCTACATTAGTGACCCATCTGCAAATATATTGATCACTAAAAGGCCAGCCCGTCCCTATGAAATATAATGAAACTGGACAGATTAAAAAAAAAAAATATATATATATATATATTTTATTAATATTTCCAGAGTAGAATAATCATGTTTCAAATAACATCATGGGTACTTTTTGGGGCAAAAGAAAAGAGATACATAATCTTTTAGCTGATCAACTTACTATTAAGCTGGAATCTCATTGGGAATTGTGTTGCCTTAATACTGCAGTTCTTTTTCATGCATGTTGTTGTACTGTTATCTCTGGCTTTTCTTGCTGATATAAAATATATAGCGGAAAGAAAACTTTGGAGCAGCCTACCAGTGAAAGATAATCCAAAACTAAATTTCTTTGAATGTTTGAATAACTGATTATGAAGTCAGGTCAAGGAGAGAGTAAAAATAAATGGGGAGAGAATCCTTGAAAAAACAGACACTCTAAAGAAGCATTGATCAAGGCTATCATATATAAAACTCTGGTTCTTTGAAAAGGAAGATACAAAGAAATGAGGATTATTGTTGTACAGCTCTGTGTGTTGCCAAATGCATGCACGGATACAGAAACAATTTCCTCTTCTATATTCCAGACATTGACCACAGAGCAAACATTTTCCTTTTAAAGCATATATTTTCCGAATTATTGTCACACATGCAGTGACGTCCAAAAGATTAATTTTAAGCAGACTTTCTTAAGTTATAGATTTTGTCAAAGCCAATAAAATACTTAAAATGGAACCATGCACTGACTGAAGCAGCATATTGGCATTCAGTAACATTTATCTGACCCAGACCAATTATAAATGCCCAAATTGTAACATGCACAACCCATTCACATAAGAATTCCCAGATGTTAGAGTCATAGGATTAGTGGATGTGCAGAGCAAAAAGAAAAACCTGCTGCTGCTGCCTGTACAGCAGACATGTACTTTTCCCACAGCCAGCTTAAGTGTTCAACCTGTTTAAAGATGTTTCTGAAATCTGTCTGAATCAGATTTATTTGGGTCAATTATGTGAATTCATTGGTCAACCAGTGTTGACATCATTTCAGTTTATTTATATAATGCCAATTCACAACACGTCACCTCAAGGCACTTTACAGGTCATCACTGGTTGATCACTTGAGACTGGGAGCCAGAGGAGCTGTTTCTACAGACTAACTGATCAGGCTTCAAAGCAAAAGACAAAAGAAAAGAGTCAAAAAGAAATGAGAGTGGATAATGGTGGTTTGTTCTTCCTTTTGTTAACAATATTTACTTCCTGGTTGGAGAGCTCCGGGTCATTGCTATCCTCTACCTCTGAGGCAGCCAGCTCATAACCGTCAGGGTTCATGGAGGCCAGAATGTGCACCCGAGTGTTGTTAATGATGGACTGAATTCGTTGGTTTCCCAGGATGTATTCTGAGCACAGGTACTGCGCCAAGTAGATGAGCAGCTGACGGCCTAGCACCTCATTTCCGTGCATGTTGCCCACCAACTTAATCTCTGGCTCAACTACAGAAAATGAGCAAAATAAATAAAAAAAAACGCTTAAAGCTACAGCAATGCCATTCACAATAAATATGATGATAAAATATCTTTTTTAAAATAATGCGACAACTTGTTCTAGAAACAATTGGCATAACATATTTAAAATTCAAAAATGTAGTCTGATATCTTTTCATCTTTTATAAGATTTATTGTCAAAAGGACAGATCCACCAATTATATCAGGACAAATCCTCAGTTCAGTGCCCAATGCACATCAAAGGGGTGTTCTTTTTTAATATACACCACAGGAACACTGCTCTGAAGATGTATCTACCCCCCTGACGGAGTTCGTAATTTCTTTTCCTTTTTGACACATTTTTTAACACTTAAAACTAGATGGATAAATACATCCAAAAAGTAGGTATCTAAATATGAATCTAGGTTCCTGATTCATATTTAGATACGATTAGAATCTGTCTGAAAGCATGAAGTAGGCTAGTATGTCTCAGAAAGCGACACTTCATCTAAATAAAATAAAGAAAAGTATTTCATGTTGATCAGTTTGTAAAGGGTTCAAATTAATCATTTCAACCTTGGAAGCCCAAGAACCACAGATAGGGCCGTTATGCAGAAACAGAGGAACAATGAACAATGCTGCCCTCCAGTGTTTCCAGACAGCTTTTGCTGGAGGTCACAAAGGTACAAGATACAATAAACAACCAAATGTGACTAAATTCTGCAAACAAGAGAAGGCCCCAATTCACCACTGTGATGTAAAAAAAACTCACTACCAGTTATAACAAATAACCTATGGTAATTATAGTGGCCAATTGTGGCAAAACTGGCTATGTTTAAAGGTAATTAGCTTTTTTTTTTTAATCAGACACAGTTGGACAAAGAAAATAAAATTCAATAAATAAAATCTTTTAAAAAAATCTTTTCATATTTACGCTGGTAATCTTTCTCCAGTATTAAAATAAAAATGTCTAGAAAGTATAAATACTTTAATGTCAATTTAATGTGTTTACTGTGATGACAAAAGTAAGAACAGAGGGCTATTTTGTTGACAGTAACGTAGTAAACGTCAGGAGTAAAATGCTTTTACTCACGCAGCTCATGCTGTCCTGGGTTGTCAGTAAACTCGATCACCAACAGATCTCTGCCTTCTGTGCTTCTTCCAATGCTGTAGACCTGAGAGATATGGGAGCATTTGGCTGCTGTTCTCTTCAGTAAGCTGTACATTTGGGCATTAGAGGTGTAGGTGAACTGAATGATGGTGCTTGGTTCTTCTGGAGTGAGACTGGATAACGTCAGCTCCTGTCTGGCTGGAGGAGTGAATCACAGGGATATGGAGAAGAAGAAAGGGTTGGCAGTGTTGGTTTCAAACATTACTTCGGTATCATTGGTTAAAAAAAACAAAGACACATATCTTTACCTTTCAGCCCTGCTAATGGGTCAAAGCAGCCCTCCTCATTACCAGCAAAGAAGCGATCACAATCCAGGAAGTAGGGCCAGGCCATCTCAATGGCCTCAAAGGCGTGCATACAGTCTTTCCTCAATGCCTCACATGTGCTGCGGCATGGTTTGATAATCTTGTTATCCCGACAGGGTGAGGCCAGTACCGAGCACCCTACAAGACGGATCTCAGGGGAGCACTCACCATTGAGTAGACCATGGATGACACTCAGAAGGAGGTATTCTGCTCCTGACTCAGCTTCAATACGACTTTGGTGACCAAGAATATTAGGGAATTTGGTGCTGGAAAAATGGAAGATAGGAATGCCATTTGGAAAATTGTACAAACCTCCCATGACTATGTAGTTTGTAGAACCATGTAATACAATGAAATGAACCATGAAATATTCGCTATTGTTAAAACTTTATCAATTCCTGGCATAATTTTGAAGGACTCTCTGCCAAGTTCTTGTCTTATTTTTATGCAACCTTGATTCAGTTCATTTTTCTCTATACAGCTGTCTTAAGCAGCAGCAGAGCACTTTTTACAAATTAAATTCTCAAATTGAACTATGTGGCAACAGGACATATTTTGAACAAGATATTTTTTTCTTATTATAATTGTGATGGCAAACTTTTGCCTGTAGACTCAAAGATGTGGGTTTTTCACAGTTTTATTGTCCGGTTGCTTTAAACATTGTGCAGTACTAACCTTGCTTTCAAGATGATTTTTTTTGCAGGATTAGTGAGTTCACAAACCCACAATGTTCCATCTTGTACTGCTCCAGCTTAAATAATTCAAGTCTGAAACCAAAACAGGTCTGCTAATCACGTTGCACTACAATAGTTTAAGGTGGAACATACACTCACCGGCCACTTTATTCGGTACACCTGTACAACTGCTTGTTAACACTTCATTTCTAAGCAGCCAATCACATGGCGGCAACTCAGTGCATTTAGGCATGTAGACATGGTCAAGACAATCTCCTGCAGTTCAAACCGAGCATCAGTATGGGGAAGAAAGGTGATTTGAGTGACTTTGAACGTGGCATGACTGTTGGTGCCAGAAGGGCTGGTCTGAGTATTTCAGAAACTGCTGATCTACTGGGATTTTCACGCACAACCATCTCTAGGGTTTACAGAGAATGGTCCGAAAAAGAAAAAACATCCAGTGAGCGGCAGTTCTGTGGGTAGAAATGCCTTGTTGATGCCAGAGGTCAGAGGAGAATGGCCAGACTGGTTCGAGCTGATAGAAGGGCAACAGTGACTCAAATAACCACCCGTTACAACCAAGGTGGGCAGAAGAGCATCTCTGAACGCACAGTACGTCGAACTTTGAGGCAGATGGGCTACAGCAGCAGAAGACCACACCGGGTGCCACTCCTTTCAGCTAAGAACAGGAAACTGAGGCTACAATTTGCACAAGCTCATCGAAATTGGACAATAGAAGATTGGAAAAACGTTGCCTGGTCTGATGAGTCTCGATTTCTGCTGCGACATTCGGATGGTAGGGTCAGAATTTGGCGTCTACAACATGAAAGCATGGATCCATCCTGCCTTGTATCAATGGTCCAGGCTGGTGGTGGTGGTGTCATGGTGTGGGGAATATTTTCTTGGCACTCTTTGGGCCCCTTGGTACCAATTGAGCATCGTTGCAACGCCACAGCCTACCTGAGCATTGTTGCTGACCATGTCCATCCCTTTATGACCACAATGTACCCAACTTCTGATGGCTACTTTCAGCAGGATAATGCGCCATGTCATAAAGCTGGAATCATCTCAGACTGGTTTCTTGAACATGACAATGAGTTCACTGTACTCAAATGGCCTCCACAGTCACCAGATCTCAATCCAATAGAGCATCTTTGGGATGTGGTGGAACGGGAGATTCGCATCATGGATGTGCAGCCGACAAATCTGCGGCAACTGTGTGATGCCATCATGTCAATATGGACCAAACTCCCTGAGGAATGCTTCCAGCACCTTGTTGAATCTATGCCACGAAGAATTGAGGCAGTTCTGAAGGCAAAAGGGGGTCCAACCCGTTACTAGCATGGGGTACCTAATAAAGTGGCCGGTGAGTGTATAGCTGTGACAACAGCAAGAGCTGCACTGAAACAAATAATGCAACAATCGTTTTTGGCATCTACTTAATCATATTCTGTTACTTTAACACAACAGTTTAATGATCTACCCTGGTAGCTTGAAAACATGATTGTGTTAAAGTAACTACCGTAAATGTAATTAAGTAAATTCCAAAAACGGTTGTATTATTTTTTCATGTTGCCAAGCTCCAGGTAGAACGAAAAAATATAAATATGGCTGCTGCTGTCACATCTGATTCATCAGAATCCATGATTTAATATTTGAAAGAAAGAGACATTTGTTACCATGATTGGCAAAACCAAAATTATGAAGGTGGGATAGGTGGGTGTTGCTTTTTCCAATTTGCTCAAACAGTTCCACTAAGCATCCTTCCTTTCCCCCAACTGAATGGTTGGAGCGTTCTGATTGTCTAGAGCTATACCTGAATTCTGAACATTATCAGTCTGTCTTGTCAGGTTAGTGCAGTTGAGTTTAAGGTAAATTACCTATGAGCTCCACTTCTAGGAAGATTGTCAGCTGTCTGGGTTTCTTATTTGTAAGTAAGGTATTGATTTTAAACAGTAAAAATCGCAAATTGACCAAAAACTAAATACACATACTTTATAGGCTTAATCACACTTGCTGATAATTTTCCAAGCATGTTTTATTACCACCACCTGTGGACCAATTTTAAGTTAAAACCAATGGAGCCTCCAGAAAGCTTATAGGGCACATGGGGCGGTTAAAAACCCCTTGGGGTGGCAAACCAACATCAAAAACAAAGAGTGACTCTAAAATGCTGTGATGATTCACAATATTTGCTAGAAATCTAAAGGTTATCATCATCATAGATTCTCACATATCAAAATAACAGCGATTTAACCAGATTACGTGTGTCACTTTCATATTCAAAGGAATATGAAAACACTTTTACTGATAAAATACAAGTTCCTCACAAGTAAAATTAACCATAAACATTTATGAAAACAGTACCCACATATTTTTCAGCTTGATGGGGAAAAAGTAACTTAAAACTACTTACCATAAAAATTAAAAACATCTATAGTTTTTGTAAATATATTGTCTTTTGATGTTTAATCTTTTTCTGTCCCTAAAGCACAATAATTTAGCGATAGTAACAGTAAGAAAAGTGCTTTTTTTGTAATGAATAAACCTTTTTGATCCAATTGCCTTTTTGTTTTGTGAATGAAACACCTTGATTTTTCTCCACTGGTACAATAAGGATATTTCTATTCTATTTTCCATTCTACTCTACATGAATAAGAAACCAACGACTTTATTGCTTTGGTATAACTCACGTTGAGTACTCCAGATCATTACAGTAGCCCAGGTTCAGTTCTGTGCAAGTAGCTGTTGAAAGATAGTAAAGGGGAAATAAAACAATTTGATTACAAAATCAATAACAGCACTATTTTCCCAGTAAATAAACACAATAAAATATTGTATTTTTAATCATGGTTAAACATACAATGATATAATAAAATAATATACATTTGTAGCATGTAGTTAAGGCTCCAATGCAATCTATTATTCCACCTTCCTGAAGTTTGTAGCTTTGACAGGTTTTGATTCCTCCAAACAGTGAAATAATGACACATTGATGTGGCTCCTAGCTTTGAAAATTACATTTTGGAAACATTATTGACAATTTATCAAGCTCAAGCTCACAATCCGCTAATTAAGCATTAAAGTGCCCCTTTATCCATACCCCCCATTCAAAAAACAGCACACCTCACTGATCTTAAATCAATGGTGAAACCTGCTAATTTCTCTCCTATGCTGTGATACACACACTGAAGAAAAATAATGCAACCGTTTTTGACATTTACTTAATCACATTTAGTCTTTAACACAATTGTTTCATGTCAACAGGATGGGACACAAAACATTGGTGTTAAAGCAACTAAAAATTATTCAGTTAATGCCGAAAATTGTTGCATAATTTTTTTTTAGTGCAAAACCCTGCGACAGAAGGAAAAACCAAGTAGACACATACGTGTTTCTTCCCGTGTGCTGCTGCTGCATCTTCCTGTGGGGAAGAATCAAGAACAAAAAGAAAGCAGTGGGTCCAAAAATCACCATTAGGGGGCGATATGTTCACATGAATGATAAAATAGAAAGCATTGACTCTGCATCAAAGATAGAAAAATAATAATAACATTTGTTTAACAAATAAAAACTGTCAGTGGTTCCAACGTTATAGGCATGTGTCCAGAAATGTAGCAGAGAAATACTGAGGAACAATGATTATAATAAGTGTAATAACCAGTTAATTATGTGTTTACTAATTCGGAGCGGATCATGACCTATTTATTAGATAAAATTAAGCGTTGGTTTCAGAATAAAACTGATCATCATCATCTAGTGTGTTAATTTAAAAAAAAGGCCAATTCAAGAAAAAAAAAAAATGTATGCATTTCAGCCTCATATGTGAGCAGACTTGTGCGCGGCCATTGTTTTCTCTCCTCTCTGTGAACTTACCTAAAAACTGCTCTCCTGGATGACACGGCTGCTGCGGAGCGCACTGGCAACTCCACGCTAAAAACAGCAGCGCCAAAACTCCCAGATGCATGCTTAGCTTCAGGCGAGCAGACTGTGATATGTGGCAGTTAACTTTCAGCTGCTACTTTTTCTTCTTCCTCTGAGACTCTTTTTTTAATTACCACCAACAGCACGGGGCCCCGTCCTTTGTCTGCTGCGCTGAGAGCATCCCAGACCAGAATGTGGCTTTGAGCTGCAACGATCAGATTTCACTCTGTGTGTGGGTGTGTGTGTGAGTGTTTGTATAGACACCAAAGTGAGGACCGTTTTTCCTATTTTACCATCACAATGAGGACCATTGGACCATTAGGACTAAGGTTTCAATTGGGTTCAATTGAGGGTGAGCAATGGCGTAACTATCGATAAGCAGATACTTTAGTTGCTTAGGGGCCCCCAACTTCTTAGGGGCAGGTTATTCTTCTGAAGCACTCTGTCGCAGTCAGCTTGATGCAGATATTTTTTATTTATGCTCAATTTTGAAGCGTGGTCCATGCTATGTAGTATCACGACACAACGCTAGAGGGGCAATCACGTTACTAATGCTGTTACCTTTTTTTAACTAATTACTTTGACTGTAACTATAACACAGTTAACATTGCCGACACCCCATTACTGCACGTTATTCAGGTCGCACAATGAACCTTTTTTTCATGATAGGACTCGTGCACGCCTTGTCATGAGAGAGGGGAGGATGAGAATGGCTGTTATGGGTGTTAACGCGCACCAAACACAGAGATATGGAGAGTGAGGAGGACTCTAGATAGATAGATAGATAGATAAATGATATTTACACCGCATCAAATACCGTTCCCCCCATGTTAAGAAGAGGGGAACGCTATCTGACTGGGTTTAGAAGCACATCAAATACCGTTTCCCCCATGTTAAGAAGAGGGGAACGCTATCTGACAGGGGTTAGAAGCACATCAAATACTGTTTCCCCCCATGTTAAGAAGAGGGGAACGCTATCTGACGAGGTTTAGAAGCCCATCAGATACCGTTCCCCCCATGTTAAGAAGAGGGGAACATTATCTGACGGGGTTTAGAAGCCCATCAGATACCGTTCCCCCATGTTAAGAAGAGGGGAACGCTATCTGACGAGGTTTAGAAGCCCATCAGATAGCGTTCCCCCCTGATGTCATTTACGTTGAGTTGCAATAAATGCAAAACTCTCTGCAGGTACTTGTTTTTGTCGTCCACTCTATTCAGGTGGCTTTTGAAACACACGGCGAGAAGGTGGGGGCCGGGTGGTGAGGGTTACGGGGGCGAGTAACGCAATAGTTACTTTTACTAGTAACTAGTTACTTTTATTGTGGAGTAACTCAGTAACTCAGTTCATTTTTGGGAGAGTAACTAGTAACTATAACTAACTACTCTTTCAAATTAACGTGCCCAACACTGATCACAAAATAGCAAGGATTGTGGTGTAGTGTGTGGCGTGTTTTCTCTTCTGGTTCCCGAGGTCATTCAACATTCAACAACAATGGCGACTGGACAAATGCGTACTTTGATTCAGATGCTCGGGTCGTGGAGATGTGGGGACTTCCTCACTTCTTCGCAGATTCGCTCTTCTACCTGGTCCATCTTTTTACGAGTGGTTTTTCGTAATGGCGGTCATACAAACAAAACAAGCTGGTAAGATAACAAACAGGAATTACGCATAGAGTAGAGCGAATGTAGATTTGACCAATCAGAGGCTTCCTGTCGGCAGCACTCTCTNGGTCATACAAACAAAACAAGCTGGTAAGATAACAAACAGGAATTACGCATAGAGTAGAGCGAATGTAGATTTGACCAATCAGAGGCTTCCTGTCGGCAGCACTCTCTTTGCTCAGTTACAGTTTGGGAGAGGTGCACCAGAGTGCCTGCAGAGGGGGCGGGGATGGCTTTTTGTTCACTGCAAGACCTAGGCGGGGGACCTGGTTTCAAAGTATAAATCCGCCTTTATGGGCCCCCTCACTGACCCCTAAGCAATTGTACACTAGGACGTCTCTTTGCAGATGTAACGGTACGAAAAATTGTGTTGTACTTCATATGGGGCTCACCCAGATAATGTTGCTTACGGGCCTATTGCTGTGTCGTTACACCATTGAGGGTGAGGCATGCATTGGTAATGGTTAGGGAACAGAAAGGGTTGAAAATGACAGAAAATCAATGGAAGTCAACACATGGTCCTCGCTATATATAGCAGAACAAACGTGGGTGTGCGTGTATGTTAGAATGACAGAGACAAAATGTAGAAAAACATGGCTAGTGTGGGTGTGAAAGCTGAAGATTATGTTGTTGGGGTTTTTTTTAGAAAAAATGAAACTACTGAGGCTTTTAATTAAAAAGAAGTGCCCCCCATCTTATGTGTTTGCTATCCATGCTTTTGTATTGTAAGAACAATACCCACAATAAGGGACTGATATTTACCTTATAAAGGTTTTGGATGTTTCCAACAAGATGAGTGTAACATTTAGAAAAAGATCTTAAAACCAGTGGTAATGTCTTTATTTACTAAATCTTTATATAACTGCTAACTCTCTTTTTGCATAATGTTTCATCTGATATTCTAATCACTTGTGGCCTGTAAGGCTGCATCCCATAACACTTATCTTTAGTTCAATTCATGAATAACCTGACACATTCAAGTTATCATCCTACCTGAGTAGAAAATGTTAATATTCCCAGTCAGAAGAACCCTTTGCCATCGTTTTCAGCGTACCCTGGACTGGATCGTTGTGCAAACAGTCTCAGTCGAGACTCCCAGGCTTCCCTGTCCCCAGACACTTCTTGGGGGAAGCCAGAGGGATTCCAGGCCAGCTGAAGGAGAACGTTTTTCCAGCGCTTCTTCTTGGTAGGACATGCCAGGAACACCTTCCTTGAGAGGTGTCCCGGGGGCATCAAAAAAAGATGCCAAAGGCACCTCAGCTGCCTCCACTAGATGTGAAGAAGCTCCTGTACTCTGGGCCTCTCCTGGATGTCCGACCTCCTCACACTTCTCCTCACTCCTTTCAGATCCTGGTTCCAAGGCTGTGAAATAACTAAAATCATTATCTAAAGTTTAAGACTGCCATTTGTTTTTTACATTTCCTTTGGTTGTATAGGTTCTTATACTTTTTTCTGTTATCTGTGATGATTCACACTTTATATTTTTTATGTCTTGATTTTTTTTTACCGTAAATCTATTTTATTTGGTACAAGTAAAAGTAAATAATTTGGTTATTTATCTTTAATAATACTCACGAAGCAAACTGTAATAATGACAGCATTGATCACAAAATTACATCTGGAATGACTAACAGCCTGTTTAGAGCGGAATCAGTTGGTTTTTTACGATTTGTTAATACCAAGGTAAGTCAGTCAAGTTTAAGCTATTACGAAATATCTGGCAAACATATAATTAAAAACTACAATGGCTGAGCTCCACAGCAGGGGGTTACCTCGTAATGACATATGATGAAAAGCAGATGATGAAGGAACCAATAAATAGGCAGATGTTCTTAGCAGCTCGCTGTCTTCTCTTTGTTTGCTGAACCAGGTAGCTCTCCTTTACACTGACAGAGATATGGGAAAATACATGTCTGATATGTTTTATATATATTATGACGTTTCCTAGAATAACAGATGGATATGTTATTTGTTGCCCAATTATTGACCTCCACCTGGAATGAATATCTACCATCAGAAGGCAGAGAACGAAGAGGCAGAGCACAAAGCTGCTGAAGTGGAGCAGCACCATGAGAGTGGCAAAGCCGATCCACACCCTGCTCGTCCAGGCGCAGCATGCACAAGGCATATGTTTGGCTGTATTTCCCCCAGTCCACCATCAGCTGGGTCAGGGAGAAAGATAGGGAGTGGAGCCAGGAGTATGCCACAATCACAAAAGCTTCCCTGGAGTGCATCTTACTGGAATACCTGAGAGAAAACAGCCAGCCACCTGTCCACGCTAAACGTGGCCATTCTCAGCATGGCGTTGCAGGTGATGAACGTCTCATTAAAACTGAAAGCACGACAAAGTTGGTTTCTGATTAGTTTCGTGCGGCCAGCCACCCCCAGTAGAGTGGCAGGCATGTTGAGAAGAGTGAGGATGATGTTGGAGAAAGAGAGATTCAGGATGAAGTAACTCTGCGCTCTGGATGAAACATAGCATCACTGACAAGTTTGTTAGGAGCGTGCAAACAGCAGAAACCAAAACCTCATCTCCTGCAGTTCTGTGATCGGAGGGTCCCTTATACGTTCAGGTCTTGCCCACCTTCAGTTGGAGCAAATCAGCCCTGCCACATGCCAAAGTCCCGCACACGCTGATATCTGTCAAGTGCTGAAATGTCCAAATAAGGATTTCCCGTTTGATGTATTCAAGCCATGTAGATGACACGTCTTCCGTAATGTTCAAAGCAACAGCAGCTTTTAAAATTGGAGCGTAAAGCTGTGCAGATGAGCTTACAAACGGATCTTTCTGTGTTTATTACCACTCATGCACAAAAAAAGGTGCCTCTGTGCGCAAGAAACGGGCAGCCAGTGGTTGACTCATGTGACAAAAAATGTGAAAAAACAAAAGTTACCTAAATAGTTTGAGATATGGAGCATGCATTCAGATTTTATACAAGTAGATGCAGTGAAAGCAAAAGGTTTGACTAAAATAAAATCCATAGTTTATTCACTATTCATTTGAAGCTTTACTTCATAAACACTAAATCCCATTCGCTATGATATAATAACCAACTCTAATCCTTTCACATATCAATGTTTATAACTCACTCTGGGAAATTGTTTATCTATGCTAAACTTAATTTCTGCTCTTATGATCGCAGAAGCACACCCTCACACACACATTAGACTCAAAACTGTATGGGAAATGAACTATGGGACTCCATAACAAAACTAGTTTGGTGTGTTAATATCTGTTGCCTGTTGCTGGCAATTATTTGTTGCTCTTTAAAAAAATCATTCGGAATACAGGGATATGTTAACGGGCAAATAGCAATGATGGTTGCTTGAAAGACTAGTTAAGTCTTTCAAATTATTAATTTGCTCTATTTGCTATAGTTAAAACTGAATTTTAGAAACAGTTCCATTACCAATATGCCTCCTGTTTGACTAAAGGCAAGATAAATATGGGTCTTCGTAAGTGAAATTTGCCTGTGTCACTCTTATATCACTGTTATACTTTAAATAAACATGACACAATTAACATTTAAAAAGTGCAAGAA